CATAAAAAATAAAAATAAACACTGTATTACACACACACACACACACACACACACACACACACACACACACAGAGTTACCAGCTAACTAAGTCACATATAACATAAGATGGAAATAAAAGGAGTCTGTCTTATTTTTTTTAAGATTTATTTTTAAGTAACATCTACACCCAGTGTGGACTTGAATTTATAACCCCAAGATCAAGAGTACTATGCTGTATCAACTGAGCCAGCCAAGCGCCCTGGGAGTCTGTTTTAAATTTACCAGGAACTTAAGTTTGTATTAAGAACTTTATGTCCAATTGCCCACCTTGGGCTCACGGACTTTATTCCAAATGCACTCTCTTCATTTATGCCTACTTAAACTCTGTACATTTTTCATAGGAAATTCCAATGTATACAAAAGATGATAAAATGATGTAAGAAAATCCCTATCACCCAGATGAAAGAGTTATCAACTCACAGCAAATCTTAATTCATCTCTACCTTCCCACTTCCGTTTCTGGGATCTGTAAGTAACACATCTGCTGACTTTACTTCCTTTGTGTGGGTGTACTGACACTGTACCTTCGATCAAAACGACCCCGGGGGGTTTTCATTTCCCCAAAGTGGGAGCTCAGATGATGAGGGAACTAACTACCTGCAGACCCCTGCGGGTGGCTCGTACCTCCCCATTCAGCAGGCCATAATCTGCAAATTCTTAATGCAATACACTAGCTCCAGCTTCCAAATACAGACACCAACAAAGTATTTGTTAAAATGCCAATCTGATAGGAAAGAAATGATATCTTGTGTTGTTTTAATTAGCATCTCTTTTACGTGAGGTTGGGCACCTTTGCATATAAGGCTAATCTGTATTTGTTTCTATGAACTCGCTGTTCATTACCTTTTTTGCCCATCTTTCTATAAAGCTATTGGTCCTTTCCTGCCTCAGTTTTAGAGGATTTTTATATAGTTGAGAGATTAATGCGTTGTCCATGATATAAGTGGCAAACATTCTTCCAGTCTGTCATTGTCTTTTTGAGGTATTTTCTGCCTTGTGGGGGGGGGGGGGCGGGCCCGTGGGGGGGCATGTGTGTGTATATATATACACACATAAAAACATACATGAATGTGTGAATACACATTCACGTAGTTATGGTTACCTATGTTTTCCCTCTTTGTTTCTGGATTTGGACTCACAGGAAACTTTTCCTCATACATAGGTCATAAAAGACTTTACCCATGGTCTTTTCTAATACTTAGTATGGTGTTACTTTCTATATTAACACCCCAGTGTACATACAGTATGAGAAGTAGATTCAATCCTACCTTTCCCAGTTGGCTATTCCAGTATCACAAACACCATTTATTTAAAATTCTGTATTTTCTCCAATGATTTTAGAATGCTGCCTTTATTATAGACTAAATTTCCACATATAATTGAGATATTTATATATTTTCTATTCTCTTCAACTGGACTGTCTTTTCCTGTAACACATTTTAAAGTGCAGGGGCACCTGGGTGGCTCAGGTGGTTAAATGTCCAACTTCAGCTCACCTCATGATCTCATGGTCCATGAGTTTGAGCCCAGTGTCGGGCTCTGTGCCCAACAGCTCAGAGCCCGGAGCCTGCTTCAGATTCTGTGTCTTCCTCTCTCTCTGCCCCTCCCCCCTCTCAAAAATAAACATTAAAAAATTAATAACAAATAAATAAAATGATAATGGCCTACAGTAATATGCTCTCATATGCAGCAGGGCTGGCCCCCTCAACCTTACTGCTCTTTAATTTCAAGGTTTTCCCAGCTTTCCTTGCTTGTCTGTTCTTACTAATGAACTTTATAATCTGTCCAGCCCCAGGAGGAAAAATCTAATGGTACTTTTGTTGGGATTCTGTTATATTTATAAATGATTTTAGAAAAAAAACTGACATTCTTAAGATGTTGTGCATGCCTACCCAGAACATTTGCTCTACTCTGTGTTTGTATTTTGAAATTTTTTTTTTAACGTTTATTTATTTTTTTGAGACAGAGAGAGACAGGGCATGAACAGGGGAGGGGGAGAGAGAGCGGGAGACACAGAATCTGAAACGGGCTAAAGGCTCTGAGCTGTCAGCACAGAGCCCCACGCGGGGCTCGAACTCACGGACTGTGAGATCATGCCCTGAGCCGAAGATGGACGCTTAACTGACTGAGCCACCCAGGTGCCCTGTGTTTGTATTTTGAAGAGTTTTTGTAGTTTTTCTCATATAAATGTAGAACTTTTCTTGTTAAGTGTATGCCTTTAAGATCTGTTTGGCTATCAGCAAAGGCATCTTTTCTTCCATTATATCTTGTAACTGATTTGTTTTAAAAATTGATACATTTTCAAAATCCCTTTTTTAGCCCTAGTTAAAAAAAAAAAACATTTTAACGTTTATTTATGAGAGAGAGAGAGAGAAAGGGACAGAGTATGAGTGGGGGAGGGGCAGAGAGAGGGGGGCAGACAGAGAATCCAAAGCAGGATCCAGGCTCTGAGCTGTCAGCAGAGAGCCCCATGCGGAGCTCGAACCCACAAGCTGGGAGATCATGACCTGAGCTGAAGTCAGACGCTTAACCAACTGAGCCACCCAGGTGCCCCTAGCCCTAGTTTAAAGGATATATTCCTTGACCACTCAGGTCATACTGAATTCTCTCATTTCTAAACATCCAGTGAACTTAAAATATATATATATGTATATATATTTTCTTGACATTTATAATACTTGTTCTCTCTCCCCTTCTAAAATATAAACTTTTCAGAAACAATATTATACTTACTTTCTACTTATCACTCAGCACCTTATATGATACTGGGAACACAGGAGGAACTCAACAAATATATAGTTGATCAACAAGGGAACAAAGTATAACTACCTCATATAAAAACTCCTAATGAACTCATCAAACCACATTTCTGACCCCCAGCCAGCCTGCAAATACTTTACATTAATCATGAAAGGAATGTGGGAGGACTGGTTAAAAACCATTACTGCTTCTCAAAGGTCCTCAAAGTTGATGGCCTTGAGTCATCCAAAATGAACTGGGGACTATGGGGGAGGGATGCAGAAAAGAAAACAACTTTATGTTAATATGAATAAGGCAGATAGATGGGACACCTGGGTGGCTCAGTCAGTTAAGCTTCTGACTCTTGCTTTCGGCTGAGGTCACGATCTCATGATTCATGAGATCGAGCTCTGCATTGGGCTCTGCGTGGATAGCATGGAGCCTGCTTGGGATTCTCTCTTTCCATCTCTCTCTGCCCCTCCCCAGTTCATGTGTTCATTCTCTCTCTCTCTCTCTGTCTCTCTCTCTCTAAAGTAAATAAAAACTTAAAAAGAAAAAGAAGGCAGATAGAGTTTGCATGACAGACTACTGGAGAGTAGAGAGGTACACACAGAGACAACCACAGACCTCAGCAAAGCCTCCCCCTACCCCCCAGGATTCAGCAGGGCACTGCTCAGAGCATGCACACAAGCAAATCGCACAAGACTGGGCAAAGACCACCAGAAAAGATTACAAAAACCATACCATCTCTCGCCAAGGTCAGGACTCATGTCTGTTCCCACCAACCAAACTGGGATAACCTCATAATTCACAGGACATTGGGTAGAATACTTAGAAGGGTCTTGCCTCCGTGGGGTAATAAATAGCCCTAACTAAATGCTAGTCTGCTTTCCAACCAACAAATTTAAAAAGCAAGATTCAAAAGGATCAAACCATTTTCAAAAAAAACTATGTCCTGGGGTACCTGGGTGGCTCAGCTGGCTAAACACCTGAGGACTTTGGCTCAGGTCATGATCTCATGGTTCATGAGTTCGAGCCCTGCATCTGCTGTCAGCACAGAGCCTGCTTCAGATCCTCTGTCCCCCTCTCTCCCTGTCCTACCCCCACTGGTTTTCTCTCTCTTTCAAAATAAACAAACAAATATGTCCCAAAGCAAAAAATACTTCTAAAAATCTAAAAACATCCAGCACACAAGGTAAAATTCACAATATCTGGCATCCAATAAAAAAATGACCAAACATGCAAAAAGGAAAAAAAAAAAAAAAAAAAACACTGAGAAAAATCAACCAACTGGAACCACACAGAAATACATGGACAGTTAGACTTTAAAACATTTCTAACACTGTATGTTCAAAAAGTTAAGAAGTCACATGATAGATACAAAAAAGATGCAACTTCTAAAAATGAAAATTATAGTATCTGAGGTAGAAGATACACTGGATGGGATTAATAGCAGATGAGATATTGCAAAAGAAAAGATTAAAGAACTTAAAGGCACAGGTAGAGAAACTACCCAAAATGAAACAAAGAGAAAAAAGAACAAAGACAAAATAAAAAGAACATCTGTGACCCATGAGATAATTTCCAGCAGCCTAATAAACGTGTAATTGAAATCCATGAAGGAGATGGGGGGAGGCAGAAAAAATATTTGAAGAAATAATACTAAAAATTTTCACATTTGATAACTACCAACCACAGATCTAAGAACCTCAACAAACACTAAGCATAGAAAGTATGAAGGAAACTATGCCAAGACACATCACAATAACATGGCTCAAAGCCGGTGATAAAGAGGAAATTTCAAAAGCAGCTGGAAAAAAGGAAGGACTTGTATTTTACTTCATTAAATATAACCTATCATAGTTTTGTTTGTTTGTTTTTTGAGAGAGAGTGCAAGCGGGATAGAGGGGCAGAGGGAGAGAAAGAATCCCAAGCAGGCTCCGTGCTACCAGCATAAAGCCTGACGCAGGGCTTGATCCCATGACTGAGATCATGACCTGAGTGAAAAATCAGGAGTCGGATGCTTAACTGATTGAGCCACCCAGGTGCCCTGAGCCCATCCTAGTTATTTTAATAATCCATAAGCAGTAATTCTAATATGTAAGCATTTGTAAGTTTACTTCTTATTATCTGTTGTTTCTGCTGACTCTTGTTCAGGCTGTCTTATTTCCTGTGCACTTGGTTATCTTTGACAAATTATTCGGTGACTTTGAAACTTTATTCGCAGAACTTTTTAGAGACAAAGATAAAAATACATTGCCACAGAGAATATCTGCATTTGTTTACCATATTATTTTAAATTCATACATTGACATATAACCCAATTTAAAAATGGGCAATGGATGTGAATAGACTCTCTAAAGAAATATGACAGATAAATGACCAATAAACAACATGAAAAGGTGTTTAACATCAGCAGTAATGGGAAATGCAAATCAAAGCCACGAGATACCAATCCACATACATTGAGGACGGCTATAACCAAAAAGACAGACAAAAACAAGCGCTGACAAAGATCTAGAGAAACCGGAACCCTCAAAGATTATTGGTGAGAATAAAAACTGGTGCGGCTGCTTTGGGAAATGGTTCGGGAGTTCCTCCATGGAATTACCATATGACCCAAGAATTCCACTCCGTAGGTAACAGCTATGAGAATGAAAACTATATTTCCATACAAAAATTGTACACAAATGCTCACGGCAGCATTATTCATAATAGCCAAAAAGCGGATACAACCCAAATGTCCATCAACTAACAAACAGAAATACAAAAACAAAATATGGTAGAATCTTATTCAGCCATTAAAACGAATCGAGTACTGGGGCGCCTGAGTGGCTCAGTCGGTTAAGCGGCCGACTTTGGCCCAGGTCATGATCTCGTGGTCCGTGAGTTAAAGCCCCACGTCAGGCTCTGTGCTGACAGCTCAGAGCCTGGAGCCTGTTTCAGATTCTGTGTCTCCGTCTCTCTGACCCTCCCCCATTCATGCTCTGTCTCTCTCTGTCTCAAAAATAAACAAACATTAAAAAAAATTTTTTTTAATAAATAAATAAAAAATAAAAAAAATAAAACGAATCAAGTACAGATTCATGTTACCAAACAGATAAATCTTGAAAACACGTTAAGTGAAAAAGGCAAGACACAAAAGGCCACGTATTGTATAATTTCATTTACATGAAATTCCCAGAATAAGCAAATCCATAGAAATAGAAAGCACATTAGTGATTTCCAGAGATTGGGGGAAAAGGGGGAAATGAGAAGTGACTGCTAATGGGTACAGGTTTCTTTCCGGGGGAAAAAATGGTCTAGAATTAGTGATGATGGTTGTACAACTTTGTGAATATATGAAAAACCACTGAAGTGTACACTTCAAAAGGGTGAATTTTATGGTATGTGAATTGTATCTACAGAAAAATAAGATATTAAAAACATTACATCTTGGAATTTTGGGAGGACCACCAAGGTGATGTGAACCACCTCTCTACCACCGTCCATGGTTACAACTTTCCAAGGACACGTTTTCTTCTCCTGTTTTACTTGGCGTCAAGGCAACTGTCCTTGTGGTTCCCTAAAAGAGGTAGAGTGAGTTTTAGTCCTTGAGGCCACAGACCTTTGGGATTTCCAGAACTAGAGGCAGAGAGTCTCCTGTTAGCTTACCTTGAACGAGCCCTAGGCTGACTTCTAACTACGCCTCCTGTCCTGCAAATCCACCAAATTCTTAATCAAATCTAATCAAGTCTCCCCAGTTTAGCAAATGCACTCAGAGCAAATAAGAATTAAGGGCTCCTTTAGTCTCTGATTTTCAGCTTTCTCTTTGATTTTGGCATATTAATTCGTAAGTACCTTTTTTAAAAATTGCACTACAGCATTCTTAGCTATTTTCAGTGTGAAAGATCTTCCAAATCTTAACTATACTCCCAAAATGAAAATTCTCTATTTACTTTTCAAGTTAGAATGAACTCTAATGAGTTAGGACAGGATCTGCAAAAACAAAAAGCCTGATATAGTCTACATTAAAGTAGCTTCAGTATTCCTTGTGACTTCAGCTGATTACAGTAGATATTTAAGATTTAAAATATATTCCAATGAAAGTTTACTTTAGAAAAAAAATTAATTTGAGGGGGAGTCTAGTTTTAAAAGAATTGTAAGTAGGTGACTCCTTCTCTTAGGTATCAAGGCTCTTTACACAATTAAAGTAAATATGATTGCAGCAAGAATACACAAAGAGACCAAAGAAAGATTAGCCCAAAAACATATGCACACATATATGGAAACTTGGCATATGATGCGTATAGATCTGTAGGAGGAAAACCAGAGTGTTCAATAAATGATGCTAGGAAAAACTGATTACCCGTCTGGAAAATAAAATGAAACTGGACCCCCACTTCACATGACACAAAAATCAATCACATATGGATTAAAGACGTAAATACAAAAGGCAATACTATTTTAAAGCTTTCAGAAGAAAATATAAGACTACATCTTTCTAACCTCAAGGAAGAGAAAAATGTGTTAAGCAAGATGCCAAGGGGCACCTGGGTGACTCAGCTGGTTAAGTGTCTGACTCTGGATTTCGGCTCAGGTCACGATCTCAAAGTCGTGAGATTGAGCCCCGCTTGGGGCTTTGCACTGAGTGTAGAGCCTGCCTGGGATATTCTCTCTCGCTCGCTCGCTCACTGTCTCTCTGCCTCTCTCCCACTCACAGGCGCACACACACTTTCTCTCTCTCAAAATAAACAAATAAACATTAAAAAAAAAAAAAAGCCAAAGCTTAAAAACAAAAAGATGCCAAAAGCATACACCATAAAGACAAAGTCCGAAACACTCAAGTACTCTAAACTATAGAATACATCTATCAAAAACCATATAAAGTAAAAGACAAGCCACTTGCTGGGGAGAAGATACTTCCCACATGCATAACCAATAAGACTCAGTACCATAAATAAATAAATACAACTTCTAGAAGGAGATTTTTTTAAGTCAAAAAAATAGGCAAAAGACATAAACAGACATAACAGAATTGTGGAACATCTGACACCATCAGTAATTAAGGAAATGTAAAATTCAACCTTCAGTGGAGGACCATTTCTCACCCACCAGATTGTCGAAAAGAAACAATTCAGATCATTACAAACGTTGTTGTACAAACGTCTCAAATGTTGAGGAAGGGAACAAAGTGAACACTGACTGTGGAAGTATAAGCTGGTATAACCACTTTGCAAAACAATTCAGTATGGGGGCACCTGGGTGGCTCAGTCGGTTAAACGTCTGACTCTTGGTTTCAGCTCAGGTCATGAACTCACCATTTGTGAGACAGATCCCCGGGTCTGGCAGTGCAGATAGACCACACTGCCAGAGTAGAGCCTGCTTGGGAGTCCCTCTCTCTCTCTCTCTCTCTCTCTCTCTCTCTGCCCCTCCCTCACTCACACTGACATTCTCTCTCAAGAAAAAGAAAAATTCAGTATGTTCTAGCAAAACTGAAGATCCACAACTCTACTTCTGGGCAAAGAGACATGCGTTAGAATGGCCATAACAAAACAGCTCTTAGTGGCAAAGAGTGAAAATTAAATTAAAAAAAAAAAAAAAAAAGAAAATGGAAAATGTCCCTAAATATCCATTAACAGGAAAACGGATAAACAGCAGTAAACTCATACAATGGAATGATATAGAGCAATAAAAAGTAAATGAACTGTAACATAGCAACATCAATGAATCTCATAAATATAATATACCAAAAAAAAGTAGCAGCATGGAAAGAGAGAGACACAGTCAGGGCTTTGAAAATATTCATAAGTGTTGTTTCTTTTAAATTTTTTTTCATGTTTATTTTTGAGAGACAGAGACAGAGACAGAGTGTGAGTGGGGAAGGGGCAGAGAGAGAAGGAGACAAGAGAATCCAAAGCAGGGTCCAGGCTCTGAGCTGTCAGCACAGAGCCCGATGTGGGGCTCGAACTCATGGACTGTGAGATCATGACCTGAGCCAGAGTCAGACACCAAACTGACTGAGCCAGCCAGGTGCCCCAATAAGTATTATTTCTAAAGCATGATATGAGTATAGGGGCATTTATTTTATTTGTATTCTCTAAATCTATAGCTGTGTGAAAAGTACTGTTTTGTACATATGAAATAATTTCTCATTTAAAAATTAAGTAAATGCATGGCTGTGGTTGAAAACATGAAAATTACAGAAAACTATATGAAGAAAATAAAAATTATCAATAATCCCATCACCCTGAGATAACTACAGTATTTAAAAGAAAAAATATATTTAGCATATCTTTTTCTACTATTTAAAAAATTTTTTTAAATGTTTATTTATTTTTGAGAGAGACACAGAGCAGAAGCAGGGGAGGGGCAGAAAGAGAGAGACAGAATCTGAAGCAGGCTCCAGGCTCTGAGATTGGTCAGCACAGAGCCGGATGCGGGGCTCCAACCCACAAATCACGAGATCATGATCTGAGCCGAAGTTGGATGCTTAACCGACTGAGCCACCCAGGCACCCCATCTTCCACTATTTTTATTTATTTTGTTACAGCTTTATTGAGGTACTTACAGTAAATTATACACATTTAAAAAGGTTTTTTTTATTATGTTTATTTACTTTTGACAGAGAGAGACAGAGCACGAGACGGGGAGGGGCAGAGAGAGAGGGAGACACAGAATCGGAAACAGGCTCCAGGCTCTCATCTGTCAGCACAGAGCCCGACTCAGGGCTCAAACTCACAGACCGTGAGATCATGACCTGAGCCGAAGTCGGAAGCTCAACCAACTGAGCCACCCAGGCATCCCTATACATATTTAAAATGTATAATTACATGAGTCAAACATATGTATACACTGGTGAAAGCATCTTTACAACCAAGAAAATGAAGGGGTGCCTCGGTGGCTCAGTCGGTTAAGCGCCCAACTCTTGATTTCGGCTCAGGTCATGATCTCACTGTTCATGAGATGGAGCCCTGTGCGGGGCCTGCTTGGGATTCTCTCTTTCTGCCCTTCTCCCCACCCCCATCTCCATTCTCTCTCTCAAAATAAATAAACAAAAAAAAAAAGAAAGTGAACACACTCACCATTCCCAAAAGTTTCCTCACACCCCTTTCCAGTCCTTTTCCTTTGCACCCATCCTCTGTTACTTTAGGCTACTTTGCATTTTCTAGGATTTTGTCAGGTTTGAACACACTTTATGCATATGTCACACTTCACTTGACACTGACAGGTTTTCCAAAATGCTTTACCAATTTACACTTCCATCAGCAGAGAATGAGCGTTCCAGGTGCTCCATATCCTTTGCAACATTTGGTTATTGGCCTTTTCCATTGTAGCGATTATTTGCATATTCCCCAGGTAAATATACATAAAACTACTTGTCTGAACGGCAACGAAAAAAATTAAACTTCAATGATGACTGAAGTGACACTCATTGTAAAGAAATTTTCACGTTAAGGGCATTTTCCCTTGAATGCATGGTAATAACTGAAGCAAAGCCCTTGGTACGTGCCTCATGATTTCCCATTTAGTAAAGACGTCTGATTTCCACATAAGAGGTTTAGAAGAATCACTGAAATATATAAGAGGAATCACATGACTTAAATGCAAGCTGGGAGTATCACAGTACTGGAACTCAGGTGAAATACAATCCAACACAGTTTGTGAAAGTGTGACTTTAACACAGATAACACCAGACCCCAAGAGACCAAAATACCACTAAGATCGCAATCATTTGAATGAGGGACGATGAAAATCTTTCTCACAATAGTTCTATTCAGTCTGCTCAGCTACTTGCTCTCAGCTTCTGCTACTTAACCACAAGAGGGGAACAATGCTGTGAGATGCACTTTAACATAAAGGTATTCGACTGTCCTTATATTCTTTCCAAACGGACCATAAACTCCCCTCTACCACCCTGTAACTTCTTCTAATCTTTGTCTCTCAAAATAAGGACTCTACACTCCTTATCTTTATTTCTTCATTCTCTATTTACTCCTCAAATTCATTCATATTTGGCTTCTATCATTATCATTTTACTTATATTGTGTTTGCTGAGGTCAATGACCTCCTCCTATCCTAACTACCAAAGCCAAGAGACATTTAATCAGCGCCTATCTTCTATATCCTTCTGACTCATTTGACTGAGATAGATTTCCCTCCTGATTAAAACTCTTTCCTCTCCCGGCTTCTAAGCACCATTATCTGCTAGATTTTCCTCCTTCTTTCCTGAATTCTCCTCCTCACTCTCCATGGCTGTCTCTATACAGCACTTCAATGTTGGTTTCCCATGCTTGGTCTTCTTTTCTTGTTCTTACTGGAAGATTTCTTCCACTCTCACGGGACTAACTACACAAATCCATGATGCTTCCAACATTTACAACTCTTATCCTGACTTCAGAAAATCCCAATACTAGACAGGTCTGCCAGATGGTCTCCAAGAATCTCACTGCTTTTCTCTCAGCCTGAATTAATCTCTCAGTCTGTTAGCTTTATGCGTGAATACAATTATAATTCAAGTGGAGCCAATAAAATACAAGAAGTACTTCTGAAATATTTTTCTTGAAGGGTTTAAAGAAACACAAATTTTTATAAAGACTTTCCTCCAGTTATGAAGGTAACTCATAGCAACCAAAACTACAAAACACAAGAGATAAAAGGCAAATCTCCTCCAATCCCAGCTCTCAAAGGCAAGCAATATTAACATGTCCTCCCAGAAGAAGCAGTTTTCACCACAATTAAGTTACATACCAAAATATCAAATTACTAAATAGACGGTGTTGTTGTTAACTCTTCGTATTTTCCAGGCTACTTTTTGCAGTATTAATCAGAAGACAAAATTCTACTACATGCCTGCCTGGAGTGAGAAAATTAGTAATATTCTAAAAACCAACGCAATCCTTTTACATGCTGTATTTTTTAGTATTCTAAAGGAATCGGTGTTTTTGGCTTGGCAACTATCTTGCCTATCCCTGGACGCCTACCTGTGTGCAATATACCCCACAAATCAGCCATCCTACTTTC